TTCTTTGTTAATTAGTTAAAAATTCAACTTGCAAGAAAATACAAAAGGGCCAGTGACCTCAACTTTGACTACTAAATGATGGGACCTAAAGCATTTTCATTTTACTAAAATACATGTTTGTTTATTTTCGGTATTAACATTTTGGTATTCAATACTCACATTGTGTTTTAATTAATCTAAAATTGAATGATGTCAGATCACATAAGGGGAAAACTCCCTTAATGCCTACTTTTCTATTCATAAGACTCGAACTCGAGATTTTATTTAAGAGGAATTGAATTTTTTCTACTCGAATAAATAAACAGTTAGTTAGAATACATGTTTGTTTGTATCCATTATAAAAATAGATAATGACTGATATATATATATTGGTTTAAAATATTATATAATATATTTATTAAAAAAATCAATATTTTTTTTTATTTGAAAGCAAATACATACAAACTTGTAGATGCAATCATGCATATATGATGCAAGAACTACTTGAATTGATTATATTTATATCATATTTTAATAATTAAACTGAAACGAGTATTAAAAAATATGTTAAACTGAGTGTTTACAAATTATTTTTAAAAAAAATACATATGTATGTTGGCCATTCATCATAAGCCAATATCAAATGGCATATAATATTAATATAATAAAAAAATATAGATGTGAAGACTATAAATTTACTTGTAGAATAACATTTTAAATTTAAGATGACTTTTATAAACACTATTTGTATAAAATTTCAACCATTCCTCTTTTTATTATGAATTATTAAGATTTATCTATATTTTAACTCATTTTTTAAAATCTAATTATCTTTTTTGTTTAAAAACTTATGACATAATCAACTATTTATATAGAAAAATGAATCAAAATTTTATATAAATGATGATATGATAAATATGTAAAAATTATATATAAAAAAAATCCCTTAATACTCTATACATATACTATTCATAAGCATATATGTATATATATATATATATTAAAATAAAAATATTTATTTATTGAATACAAGGGATATACGAATCCATTTTCAAAGTTAATGACCTCAACCACAGAAAAAGGCTATATCTGTATATATGCTGACCTAGTCTGCCCAATAATTAATGTAGTTGCAATGTGTCTGTTTCTTTTGTCCCTTCCCGAATGCCACCTAGCTCCTTTGACACGCATCTTCGTCCTTGGTGTCTGCTAATTGCTCTATTTAAGTCGAAGTCTCGAACCGTCCAAGTTGGATGGCTCATGGCGGTGGCAAGAACATAGAAGTAAAATGAGCCGTACTACTCTACTATACACACAGAGTACTAAACAGAAACAGCGATGCGTGGAAGTGGAAGCCAAGTCACACCAAACAATTTTATGAAGAGGCACTACTACTACATGCACAACTTGGGTTTTAATTGGTCCAGTGCACAGTTCATTTGATTAGTCGAAGACTAAATGCACTTATACTAAACAGTCTGCCGATTACATGTAGCATTCTTCTTATATGAAATCCCCATGTCAACATTAACAAAATTAGTGCTCCATTTCCTCTTCAAGATTCCCACGCCCACCTGCTCCCCATCGTTTTCTGTTTTTACTTACAAGTTAAAAAACTTTGTATGGGGGTATCTTAGAAAAAGGTTAAATATTAATACAATGTTTGGCAGCAATTAGCTCTTAAAGCAATGAACCAATGACTTCCATTGTTGTCGGTAAAACCGAGTTGATTCAATCCAAAAAGAAAAAACAACAAGAAAAAAAAAAATCGATTTTTTCATGAATGTTCAAAATAATAAAAAGTTGATTCAACATATCCTACTTTAGCGTAAGAAGAAAACATATCCTACCTTATTTTGAACTTTTAAAATAATAATAATAATAATAAAAACAACAAAATTATAAAACAGATAATATTCTATGCAAGTAGTTTTTCAATAAAAAAACAATTTACTAAGAGTAAATTTGAAACAATTTACAAGGACTTAAAAATTACACATGAAATGAAAATATAGGAAAAAAAATTCAACAATAATAGTATTAGTGAACTAAACGAAGGAGCTTTTATTAAAAGTAATTTTTTTTAAAAGAGAGTATTTTTTTATATAACTTATTATTATCATATATAAAAAAATAAAAAATATTTTTAATTAGATTTTATTTTTTTTAACATCAAAAAATATGAAAGATTGAAAGATTTTTGAATAATTGGTGAGAATTAAAATTTTAACTAATTAAACTTAAATACATGAATCATTAAATCAAAGAGTCACTACTTTAATTAGATATTATTTTTTTTTAAAACAAATTTATAAAGAGTTGAATTCAAATCATTATTCAAGAGAAGAAAATATATTTAAACATGATTTGACGTCACTAATTTTAAAGGTTCAAGTGCTTTAGTTAGATATTATTTATGGGTGAATCTTTAGAAAATTTAAATAAGGGATTAGATGATTTAATTTTAATGTATTCTTCGTATAACAAATTAATAACACAAAAAAAAAAAAAGGTGGGCACCTACAACAGTGATACGAACAGTCTAGGCAATGCTTGTTTTCCACTGACTCCCTTACTTTGTCTCTATAGAAATGCCAAAAGAGAGAGGGAAAGTAAACCAAAACTGAGATTCAGCATCTTTCCACCACCTGGCGACCCAGGAGAGCGGAGGCTGACTGTAATTGCCAGCGCTACAGGAGCGGTACAGGTGGCTGATCCTCCATTCGCCACGCCACCACCAAGCCTTCTCCTCGATTTCTTCACTCTTACGCCCAATCACCGTCGATCAATTTATGGCTCCCTGGCGTTTCTGATTTTGAATTCCGGTTTCGTGGAGGAAGGAATCCGATACCGATCTTCGTCTCTCTGATTCCTCTCGATTTCGCTTTTTGGTGTTTGGTGGACATTGAGAGCTGATGATGTTTGAAGGAAAGGAAACAGCGGTTTCTGGCTTTGAGTCTCTTGATGTGAAGTTTGCTTTCGTTTGAAGCTGAAGAAAGTTTTTTTTCTTTAGGTTTTATTTGCAAGGATAGTTTTGAAGATTTCATTTTTTTTTTTTTTTTTTTTGCTTAATTGGGCTACATACCTGTTTGGGAGATTTGGATTTTTGGGTAGAGTTGAACTGAGTTAAATCAGTCGGCATGGTGAGTGGGAATCTATTTAATCGTAGAAAGAATTCGTGGCCGCCTGAGGAGTATATTAGCAAAGCTACTCTGCAATTGGTAATCTTCTTTCTTTCCTTTTTTTTT